AGGGCTATAATATAAGTATCATGGTATGGGGTGCTATTTGGATTAGAGGACGTTCTGATTTGGTTATTATGACTCGTGATGAGCAAGCGCAACGCAATGGATACTCAGCCAATTCCTATATTGATGTACTCGACCAAACTATCGAGAGATGCTGGCAACCTGGTATGACGTTTATGCAAGATAATATGCCCCAATTCATACAGCCAAAAAAGTTACGAAATGGTTCGAAGATCGAGGTATACCAGTACTTAATTGGGCACCTTATTCCCCAGATTTGAACCCAATTGAACACGTCTGGGCTTGGATGAAGCAGTGGATTAATCAGCAGTATCCACATCTTAAGGATCTAGGGGATTCGCAAGCAGCGTACGATGAATTGGCTCGAGTAATCGTAGAAGCATGGGAGGCTATTCCGCAGGATAAAATCGACTCCCTAATCAAGTCAATGGATAACCGGGTGAATGCCGTACTGCGGGCAAAAGGATGGCACACCAGATACTAAATCAAGAGACCTAATTAGGAAATTAGTACGATTATAATCGCTAGACATTAACGGTCATTTTGAGCTATTTTTCATAAAATTCCGATCAGAGTTCAGTGTGTAGTAGTAAAATGTATAGAGTAGAGAACAGTTAGGGGGGGTGGTAAAATTCGTGTGCACGGAGACTTTTGACCTAGTACTGTAGAGCATAATAAAGCATCTTATAACCTACAGACTATCTTCTCTCCATCTGGATCTGACTCTCTGCCATCCCTCCATCTCTCTCTTTCCACCCTTGTGCTCAAGACCCATACCCCTCTCGACCCATTGTTGGCTGCCCATTTCGCTAAGTCGACTTAATGCTCTTGCAAAGGCGAATCTCTCCTCATCACCAGAAAAAATGCTCGACGATTTCAACATGCTCATAGACATGCCTAGATCATCCATCAGATGTCTCATCGTATCGTCCACGTCGGTATGATCCTCAGCAGCCACAGCCGCAACCTTCTTGTCCTTGTCGCCTACATCGTCGCCTTGAGCATCAACTTTCTTGGTCACATTTTGGAGTGAAGTATCTATCTCCTCCTTGGACAGGAAGAGCTGGCCTAACGGTACTTCTGTGGTCAGCACGAGCTTTGCGTGTGACTCATATACGGCATCGATGAAGGTAATAAATCGTCTTGCCCAATCTCGTTGTCTGTACGTCATGCCAGGCACATCTGTCACAATAAAGGATTCGTAGGAACGCATGAGTTCGATGTAATCAGCCGCCCCTGTCGCTCTCCCAATCAATTCATGAAAGGTGAACCTTGCAGCCTTTCCACTTGCCAAGGGGACCTCTACTTCACGGCCCCAGACCGTCACTTTAGCAGGGTGGGGTGGGTCATTGATAGGATCCCCAAGGAATTGAAACCATTTATCTGCATGAGTTGAAGAGCCCTTGTCCAGCGGATGATAGTACACTCCCGAGGGTGGTCTTGGTAACTTTCGGTAATCCGTGGTGGAATCGAGGTTCAGCACACGGAGCCGTTTAGATAGTAGATTGATGCAAGGTATGAAGGAAGCTCTTTGAATGCCATTCTTGTACAGATCATCTGGATGCCGGTTCGAAGTCGTAACAAGGACCACTCCATGGGACATCAATGCTTCAAGCAGTCTCCGCAAAATCATAGCATCTGCAACATCGGTACATTGAAATTCGTCAAAACATAGTACCGTGGCTTGTTCGGCGATGTCTGCCGCCACAAAAGGAACAGCATCAAAGTCACTACCATGCTCCATTTTCGCTTTATGAAGCCGTTTGTGGACATCCTGCATAAAGTTGTGAAAGTGTATTCGAGTTTTCGAGGTAATATTCCGGGGAAGAGTATCGTAGAAGAGATCCATGAGCATGGTTTTCCCACTACCAACATCGCCATACATATAGAGGCCCTTAGGAAGCGTGTCTGGAATAACTGCACCAGCTATTTTCACCTGTTTCTTGCCAAACAGGGAGCCCAAGAAGGATGTCCGGGAAGCGGGCCGAAGAGTCTCGAAACTGGGGTGTACAACTTTCGGCGGATTGTAGTCACGCAACGTGTCGTGCAGGTCCTGCAGATGCTCCACGATGCCTGCTTTAAGTCAGCCAGTATATTCAACACTAATTACAAGAAATCTCATACCTCGCTGGTGTTCGTCATCTCGAAGTACTCGCGCATGCACACGCTCGTCATACTCTTCTAAGGGCCCACGAACGGTCGGGGCTAGGTGACATGTTAGCAGAGATCACAGTAACAGTACAAATGCCTGCTTCCATACCATCGCTAACCGTGGCATAGCCCTGCCTCGGCGTCCATGTGTGGGAACCGAGGTCCCGGGCTTGATGGTGGGTTCGACGGTTGCAAGACGGAACGAGATGTATTCCCACGGTTCGATGATATAGGGTCCTGATCTGATATCTGTTTGAAGGTTTCTGGGATTGCAAACACGTTGCGCAAATCCCTCTACCTGGCCTGATAGAGGGGCGTGTCTCGGATAGCACTGCTCGAATGTACGTTTGGATCACATTCAAGACCGGGTCTGGTGGTCGTCTCATCGCAGAATTTCTTGTCAAAGCCTGATGACATTATACGAATTTACGATTAGAGCAGGATTTATGTGCGATACTAGTATCTAGATTGGAAGGATTTAACACTTTCGCAACTTGAATGCCCAAGTACCTGATTTTAGCGTGACAAGTGCAGTGGCGGTGCACAAGTAGGACGCCCCGTCCGAGAGCCTACTACGTAATTCTAAATTTCCCAAGGTCAAGGTGGGGCCCGGACACCGGAACCCATTCCATTGATCGGTCGCCCAAACTAGAGAAACAAGACATGGTCTGGTAACGGTTATGTAACTAGTATTAGAGGGGGCTGGGCACGAACGTGTAGTGATGGAACTGAATGTCTTTGCAGAGAACACGTTTCACGTCAAAGTGTCATGGACCAAAGTCCTCACCAAGCCTTTTTGCCCCTCC